CCAATAAAGTTTCAAAAACACATAATAGAGAACTGAAATGCATAAATATGTCACAATATATATTTATATACTGTAGATGAGGCCCCTGGAGCCATAAGAAATGCAAAAAATTCACTGTTCATAACTCATTCTTGAATTGCCCCCCTTAAAAATCAAATTGCCGCCCTGACTGGTTTGGCTCAGTGGATAGAGCGTCGGCCTGTGGACTCAAGGGTCCCAGGTTCGATTTCGGTCAAGGGCATGTACCTTGGTTGCGGGCACATCCCCAGTGGGGAGTGTGCAGGAGGCAGCTGATCAATGTTTCTCTCTCATTGATGTTTCTAACTCTCTATCCCTCTCCCTTCCTCTCTGTAAAAAATCAATAAAATATATTTTTTAAAAAAATCAAATTGCCCCCTCCTGTAGGACGTGTGCCCCATGTTGGGAACCACTGGTCTAGGGCCCAGTAAATTAGACCAGCAACGGACAGGCTAACAAGAGAAAATCAGAAGTTTATTAACACGTGCAATGTGCATACACATAGGAGCAACCAGTGATGAGTAGCTCAAAGAGGTGGTTAGAACTTGGGCTGATATAGCATCTTAAAGTCAACACATTTTTAGAGAACTGACAACAAAGGAAAAAGACTTTGGACTTTTAGGGGTATCCAATTGTGGAAGGCAACTATATGGGGAAACTATTGGTAGAGGAGGGCTAGTTTCAGCAAGGTTTGTTAGATTCCTCTGGTGCTGTCTCTGGGCCGATACGGATCCAGAGTTGTCACCAGTGATTGACTTATGTCCTCCCTGGTGGAGGCATCTCTACAAATTCATGTCCTGCTTTTAGGCAAATAGAGGAAGAGCAGAGAGCTTTTCTTGAAACTGTTTCTTCTCATTTGCCTTCAGCTCAAAATAATCCTTATACCAAAGTGGCATATTTGGAGGTGGCATATTCAGCTACCCCGGAGCAAACTTTTGCTGTTTTGCTGTCACTATAGCATAACCTAGCCCAGTGTGGTCCCTGGACCACGAGCGTCAGCTCCACCTGGGAACTTGTTAGAAATACAGATTCTCAGGCCCCGCCCCGGACTTACTGAAGCTAAAACCCTGGGGGCTCAGCCTTCTGAGTTTAAAGAACACCCTCCACCCCAGGGAATTTTGATTCTCGCTCAAGTTTGAGAACTGCTGCCCTGGCAGGTGCAGACTGATCTGGTCGTCTGGAAAGCTGAGAAGGAGGAATTAGAATTCATAGAGAAGGTCATCCCAGTAAACTTGGAAACACAGAGTAAGAAAACTAATTAAATGGTGAGGCGTTCATATCAGAGAAAATCGTTTTTATGTTGTTATTATTTGCTTTTTCTTTTTTAGAGAGAGAGAAAAGGAGAGGAATAGAGACATCAATAATGAGACGGAATCATTGATCGGCTGCCTCCTGCACGCCCCACACTAGGGATCGAGCCCACAACCTGGGCATGTGCCCTGATCAGAATCAAACCATGACTTCCTGATTCATAGGTCGACACTCAACCACTGAGCTACGCCAGCCGGGAAAGAAAATATATATCTTTTTAATATATATTTTTATTGATTTCAGAGAGGTAGAAACATCAATGACAAGAGAGAATCACCGATCGGCTGCCTCCTGCACATCCCCCACTGGGGATCGAGCCCGCAACCCGGCATGTGCCCCTGACTGGAATCAGACCTGGGACCTTGCAGTCCGTAGGCTGATGCTCTATCCACTTGCCGGGGTCCAACCCCAGCGGGTCCAGGGGTCCCCAAAGGTATGGACGGAGTCGGCGAAGAAGAGATGACATGGAGACAGCGTTCAGTTGATCAGCAGCCTAGCCAGGATCTCTAGCCAAGTTCTGGTCTGGATCTCCAGAGAGGTTCTGCTTAGGATCTCCAGCCAGGTTCTGTGTCCATGTTCTCTTGCTAGGTTCTCCAGCCAGGTTCTGTCCAGGTTCTCCAGCCAGGTTCAGTCACCAGGTTCTAGTCAGGTTCTCTTGCCAATTTCTGTAGTCAGGTTCAGTCCAGGATCTTTTGCCATGTTCTCTCGCTAGGTTCTGTCTCTAGGTTCTGATGCCAGTTTCTGTCCAGGAACTTTTGCCATGTTCTCTCCAGCGAAGTTCTTCTGTCTCTAGAGAATGTTCTGTGTAGGTTCTGTGCCTAGGTTCCATCTCTCTTGGTTCCGTATTCTAAGTTCTGTGTTCTAAGTTCTGTATTCTTACATCTGTATTTATACCAGTTGATTCCAATCCTATCAATCTCTATTTCAAAGGTTAGGGCGTTTCTTATCTCCATTCCAGGGAGTAAAGATTATGTAGCTTAAGCATGATTGTTCATAGTTAAAGTGATTAATTACCCACCTGGCACTAGTTAAGAGGTTTTATTCCCTCCCTAACTTCAGGGGAAAATCCCTACCTGGGGAAACAACCTTTCTCAGAGACCTTGGTTAAAACACATAGTGCCAAGAAGGTGAGCAAACATATTAAGAACAGTATGCCATATATGCCAGGTCCCTTGAAACAGCAAGCATGGACCGGCTCCCGGCATCCACTGAGCCAAACCAGCTAGGGCGAGAAAATATCTTTTAATAAAAAATTATTGTACCCATCCCCGAGATGGCGAAAACGGGCTGTGTGAACATCTCCCCCTCTGTTGCAGCAGAAGAAAATGCTGCTGCAGAAGGAATACTCCAAACCCAGCGTCGCAGAAGCCAGACCCCAGGCCTAAGAGAAGCCCAGGACCTGCTTGCCATGTGTCCCGATGGCCTTGCTGACTTAGAAAACACTCCTGAATGCTTTGAATCCGAAAGGCACAGACACCCCAATTCTCCCCTCTGCCGGGTGAGCCATGAGAGCTTCGGCAGAGGCTGGGTGGTCATGGGCACTGTTTAAATGAAGCAAAAAGTACAATTTCAAAGCAATTGCTTCTTAAACTGTCAAATAAAAGGAATCCATCTGTGCATGTGAAATTATTCCAAGGGCTCTAACTATTAGCTGAAAGCAGGTGAGAGATGTCAACGAAAAGAAATGTCCCAGAAAGAGCTAGCGAATGTTTAAAGCCAGGCGCCCGAGGACTCCTTTGGCCTGTTTCGGATGAAAACACGTCTATTTTCACCAGCCCTACGTGAGCTCCATGGAAAAGGTTTTCGGAAAAATTTAAATCCTAGTAACCAGATGCCACTCTGTTCACTGGAGTTGCTTTAATCAGTATGACTCTGACCCTCACGCTGTCTTACGGGTAGGCTAACTGCGTATGATCATTTTAACTTTTTCCTTTGCCTTAAATTTGATGCCAGGAGGCCTTGGCTGGCTTTCTGAGTGATATATTTCACACTGTTCTATTGGCCTTCTATTTGCTGTTGATAAATGCATCCTTGCACAGCCTAGTCCATGAGAAGGATATTCGGCAGAAGTATGAGAAGTGTCTTGTCCGTCCCTGGCGGGCATGCTTGGTTCAGGGCACCCACGTGGAGGGTGCGCCTCAGTGGTAAGGCATCGCTACAGTCAACATAGAGCCCCGGGCTGTTCTCCGCGAGGCCAACGCCAGCCTTTTCCATTGCATTTCCTCTAGGGGTTTGCGCTGCAATTAGACGTGTTCATGCCTTCAGTATCTTTGTAGGCACGGAAACTGGGCTGCTGAAAATAAATAATTAGTGAGCCTTCTGCCTCCCTGGCCCTTCAGGTACCTCTTACCCGTGCCACTCTGCCAGGCTTACCCAGGCAAAAGGATCCTGCTTGCTCAGCCCACGAGGTGATGGGCTAGAGACGCCGGGACAGACTCAGAAGGGCCATGCTTCTGGCACGTGAATGCGGGGCTTGTTAAACAGGCACATTCTGACTCAGCTGGCTGGAACCTCAGAGCCTGACTTTCTTGCAAGCTCCCCGGCAAGGCCCATGCTGCCGCGGCCCACATTGTGAGCAGCGAGGGGAGAACCACATTCTGCAAAACCGTGACTTCTAGAACAGACGCTACTCAACAGGCATTGATTGAAGGGCCTGGCTCCATTTTGATTTAGGATTCCTTAAAAGCAGGGACTGGCTCTTACACTTTTTTTTTTGGTTGTTTTGTTTTGTTCTCTAGCTGGCACTTGGCACAGGTCCCGCACACGGTGGGTGTGTATTTATTTAATTAAACAGCTGGCCTCGTTCCAAACGGGATTTCAAGCGGACTTAACCCCCAGCAGGCTCTAGCCAGGTGCCTGATGCACTGGCCAGCACTGGCCAGCGAAGGAAGTCAGTCCCCGGGGTGGTCTCCAAGCCCCTGGGCTGAGGCTCTTCCACCAAACGTCCCCATCACCTCCTAGTACCTGGGTTACCTCGGCTGCTGCTCTTCTGAAATTCTCCCTCCTGCCCCATTTTTAAATCGGTTTACCCTAGAGAGCCAGTCAGAGGAGGAAAACAAAACAGAACCCAGAAAGCCCTGCGGAGCGGCAGGCTCAGCACATCAAAAGCTCCGCTCTATGCAGAACTCTCAGGTTGCCCTCTGCCTGGTCTGCAGGTCGGCCCTGCGCCCCCACCGCCGGCTCCCCGCCCCCAGAGCCCCTCTGGAGTCGTCCCAGCGGGCACCGGAGCTCGTGGGCTTGCTGCAAGCCTGGCTGTTAGCTCTGCTTGAGTAATTAATCTTCTGGAGCATCTCTTGCACCCCCCGGGAGGGGGGTGTCGAGTCACCCCGGAGGTCGCGGGAGCTCGGACAAGAGCGACTGCTCTATGGAAACCCTTGTTCCAAGAGTCCCTGCGGAGCCATAACCTGTTCCTCTGGGCAGCAGCCTCCCAGGGCTCTAGAGGCAGGGCTCGGTGCGGCTCCATGGGGAGGGGGTGGCGGGGAGGAAAAAGGAGGAGGAGGGCGATGATATTGGTCAGTAGTTGAGCCTCCCCAGGGAAGGGAGGAGCGCGCGGGCGAGTGCGCCCTGGAGGAGGAGTACACGTGCTGCTAGGGGGGTGAGAGGCGGGCGGGAGGGAGGAGAAGGGAGGCGTGAGCTGCAGGCGGGAGGCGCCACGGCCTCGAGACGCAGGCGCCAGCAGCCGGAGAGAAAGTTCCCGTGGAGAGCTCGCCCCGGGGAGGGCCGGCGTCGAGGCCGCTCGCAGCGAGGGTCGCAGGTCCCGCGCGCCCGGCCTGCCTGCCTGCCTCCTGCGCGCCCTGGGCCACCCGGCTCGGCTCCTCGGGAAGCTGCCGCTGCCAAACTTGGAGGAGGCGGAGGAGGAGGATGCTGCGAGCGGCGGCGCGGGGCGCGGGGGCGCACTGAGTGCTCCCCGGGGGCGGCCCCAGGTGAGGCTGCCAGAGCTGCGGCCCCGCGAGCCCGCCGAGCCCGAGCGGCCAGGTAGCGGCTCCAGCGCCGGGACTGCGCCAGCCCTGCCAGCCAGGGCCGCCAGCGCCACCGCGCCCGCGGCGCCTTCTCGCCACAGAGCCATGGTGCGCGGTGCGCGCACGCCGCGAGCGGGACTCTGAGCTCCGCCGCGCCGCGCGCCCCCACCTCCGCTCCCTGGGCTTCCCCGCCGACCTTCCCCGCGGGCCATGAAGCTGGGGTCCGGAGACCCTCGCCTCTGAGCGGCGCGGCGCCCGCTCCGGCCCCTGCGCCGCTGGACCCCAGATAGCGCTCCGGCGGCTGAGCCTCCCCATCTCCCGGCACCGGCACCCGCACCCAGGCGCTCCGGGATGGCGCTGCCAGGCCCCCTCCGGCCGCGCAAAGTTCGCAGGAGGCGAGAGATGCTGCAGCAGCAGATTGGCTTCGTGTGCGCGGTGCTGGCGCTGGCGTGCTGCGCGCCCGGCCTCTTCGGCAGCCTGGGTAGGTGCCGGTGCGGGCCGACCCGGGAGTTGGGGGGCTTGGGCTGGGAAGCCGCGGGCAGCTCCGAGATGTCTCCCCCTCCTTCCCGTCAGGTGGGTCCCAAGGGCTCATTCAGTCCCCTCCCCGCGGGGCAGGGAGCGCACCCCCGGGAGGGCTGGTGTGGACGCTCTGAGCCCCGGCGCCGATTCCCCCGAGCCGCGCGCCGCCCCTGGGGGCTCGGGACGCGGCTGCAGGCTGCGTTACTAGGACGGAAGCCAGCGCCGCGGCCCCTGGGTGCCCGAGTCAGTCTCCCGAGGGTGCGGGGGAGGGGCAGCGCAGCAGGGGGTCCAGACGTGGATTCCCTCGACCTGAGGGGTCCGCCTCCCTAGTCGGCGGAGCGGAGAAGGTTGTGCTCCGCGTCTCTGGAAAACCCATCTTCGGAGGCCGGCCGTGAACTCCGTCTTCCCTCCCCGGGAGGTTGCTGCCATGTTTCAGCATCGTTCTCTCAACTCCCCTTATCCCCAGGGTGGGAGCGCTGGCGTCTGGGGCACAACCCACACTCCTTCACCCAAGAGGAGGCCCAGGGAGTGGAGAGTCGCTAGGATATGCAAAGCCGAGGCGGAGAGCAGGAGAAACTTAAAAAAAAAAAATCTGGTGGGGGTGGGGGTGGTGGGCACGCGAGCCCTGTGGAGTCTTCAGAAGACGTTCACTTGGCCGGCATTGCCATTTTTAATGGGATGCTGTGGACCCTGTGTTTTTGTTTTTCACATTTTAAAAATATGAAAAACGCAGGCGATTTAGCAACTTGGACATGAGATTAAGAGGCAGTACCTTCTGAAGCAGTGGGAAAGGGACAATTTAGAGAGGTTTATAGTGAGTGACAGGTAAAATTTAGCCGGAACTTGATTAAACTTAAAGAAAAAAACAACAGAAGAATACTGCCTTTCAAAACTCATACTTGGTGACTGAGGATGTAAGGTTAAAACAGTGGCCATTTCCAACAGAAAACCTGAATGGTTATTTGCACATTTTAATATCTGGTGCTTTGCAATGGGGCAAGGCGATTTTTTCCCTCAATTACACACCAGAAATAACAAAACTCCGAGAGGCTCTTAGACGTCAGCATTAGAGAAGGGTTATCACCCAGCTGAGGCCGTGTGCTTATCAGGAGAGGTAAGTAAGTGAATGCTTTAAAGGTCCCGTAGTGAGGTGTTTGCTGGATCAGGAATTGCCTTTAGGAGTTTAACTGCGTTTGGTCCCTGCCATCCACGCCTGTGATCTCACGTGTTCCTCCGTGTGGCCCTTGGACCAACAGAGTCAGCGTCACCTGGGAGCTGGTCAGTGCCGAATCCCAGGTGCCAGCCCAGACCCACCGAGAGTCAGAATCTGCATTTTAACGTGGTCCCCAGGTCATTTGCATGTTCAAGGGTGAGAAGCCCTGGGCCAAACCCCGTCGATCTTCTCCACCTGCTCGCTGGCTAACTGTCCATCCGTAGGCCCTGCAGAGCTGGGACACCTGAGCATCGTCACCAGCGGAGAACTTCCTGGTCACTTTTCTAAACCCTTTGTTGCTCTTGCGAGGGGATCTTGGCCAAAGTCAGAGCACATGCTGACGCACCTGGGAGTGGAAACAAGGAACTCCCTCTAGGAAACAGATGGCTGTAGGTGCTACCTATTGTGCTTCCAATCATTGTACCACTTCGTTCAGGTGGCTCTAAGTAGTCAAATAGGGCTGTTGCGGCGAGATTACAGAGAGGTGAGGTCCTGGCGAGAATGCAGGTGCCACCTGGACCTAATGGTGTCTGTGACTTCACTTCCCATCCAGGACACAAGACAGCTGCCAGCAAGCAGGTTCTACCAGACACGTGGAGAAACAGAAAGCTGATGGCACCGCTGAATGGGACTCAGACAGCTAAGAACTGCACAGATCCTGGTAAGAAATAGATTCTTCACCCTCCTCCGGTCCCCCCTCCCCACTCCCGGCATTTGTCTGGGCCTGGAGATGGGGCCTTATGTGGACACTGATAGCCAGACGTGAGAAAGGTGGTTTTATGCACCTGGGTGGGAGGCTAGCGGTAAGGCATTTAAAGGTAATGTACACATGTTAATCAATTGTGCTGCTAAGCAACTCAAGTACTTTCTTTATCCAACAACTGAAAAAGGTCACATTCAAGAGTTTCAAAATTTCATTTTCTCACAAAGCTCGGAAGGCTCAGAGTTCCCCACTCTCTTGATTTTGTTGGCCTGCCCACCCCCCTTTTCTTGTTGTGCCCACTTGCTGGAGCCCTAGGAGCAGCAAGCCCGGCTGCTCTGACAGATGGCACGTGGGGAAGACCTGTCGGCCAGGGCAGCTGCAGGGGTAGGACGTGCAGTCCTGGGCCCCTTCTCTGGAGTGGCAGTTCCTGGGGTGTCATCCCAGCTCAGGGATGAGTCCTGCTTGCCCTGGAGGCAGTTTCCGTTTCCTTCCGAGACGTCTCGAGGGGGTTGGAGGCTGTCGGGACCCAGGGAGGACAACCTGTCCTTGTCCTTCCGCAGGCAGGCTTTGCTAGAAGCGGGGAGGCTCCGGGAGAGGACAGTGCTCCCGGCAGGCAGCGGGCGGAGGGAGACTGCCCAGGCTCTGCAGGGCATCCTGGGCTGTGTCTCTGGCGCCGGCACGGGGTGGTCTCTGACAGAAGGACCAGGGGGTGATGTATTTGGAAGCTTGGAGAACAATGAGGCTTTACTATAGGTGGATACCGCTTGGCTTTTCCACGGAGTTGCTGGTGAGTCACGTGATCTGTTTAGGCCTCTGCTTTCTTGCCTGTGAAATGGGCTTGCCTGCTCCGGGGTTGTTGGGAGAATCCGGCAAGGCTCTGGGTGGGGCTGTGTGTGAGAGGAAGTGGAGCCCCAGGGCAAAGGAGCAGGTTGGAACGGCACCGTCCTGCGGCTCATTTTCACAGGCAGGTCTCGTCTGCGATTCACAGGTCAGGGAAGAGCACACGAGTTGCTTAAGTCACGGAACGTGTAGTGTGAAGCTGCCTCAGAGCCAGGCCTGTGCGAGTAGCATGTTTGGTTGGTTCCATGTGCATAGGGAGGCCGGGGCCTTTCCTCAAAGCCTGCTTTCTACACCATCTACTTCCCTTCTCCCAGGATTCTTCTGAGAAGTACAGGGCGGGGGGGGGGGGGGGGGTGCGGCACAGAGGAGGTGAGCGCAGGCTTGCAGAGAAACAACTAGAATTCCCTTTGAACTTTGAACTCTCACCTGTCCTGGTGACTCAGCAGCAGCAGTACCCGCCCTGTCATTTAACCTCCCCCAGTGCATCTTTCATCAGCCAGAAGTGGGGGGGTGCATGTGCCGGACTGACATGGGCGCATGTATAAGGCCGTCCTGACACTCCAGCGACCTGAGATGCTAATTAGCACCAGCCACGCGGGGAACACAGGGCTTTTCTGGGCAAAGAATTGGGGTTGGTGCCCTAGGTGGTTTGGCTCAGTGGATAGAGCGTGGGCTGTGGACAGGAGGGTCCCAGGTTCAGTTCCGGTCAAGGGCACATGTCCGGATTGTGGGCTCGATCCCCAGTGTGGGGGTGTGCAGGAGGCAGCCAATCAATGATTCGCTCTCATCATTGATGTTTCTAATTCTTCCTCTCCCTCCCTCTCTGAAATCAATAAAAATATGTAAAAAAAAAAAAAAAAAAGAATTGGGGTTGGTGCAGTTTTGACTGGTTTCTAGCTCATGGTGCCCTGGTCTTGGACTGGGCACATTGGCTTAGACAAGTTCCCCTTTCTTAGCGTCTCCTACGCCTGATTGTTTCCTGAATCTTCAGTGAATTCTCTGATGAAAAATGATCCCACTAGCCTGGCCGGTGTGGCTCAGTGGCTGAGTGTTGATCTAGGAACCAGGAGGTCACGGTTCGATTCCCAGTCAGGGCACATGCCCGGGTTGTGCAGGAGGCAGCCGGTCAGTGATTCTCTGTCATCACTGATGTTTCTTTCTCTCCCTTCCTCTCTGAAATCAATAAAAGTATATATTTTTAAAAAATGACCCCACTAACTATGGAGCAGGCAGTCCTGCCTGGCAGAGGACCCGGACTTGTGCCCCTTTCGGAGAGGAAATGGAGGAGAATCGGCAACCTTTTTTGCAATAATTGACATTTGCGTTGTGCTTGTGTTGACTGTTTCTGGAATAGGGCCCTGCACACAGAAGGGACTCAGTAAATATTGGTAAAATGACGGAATGAAAGTGTATTTTGAATATTAAGCACTTTAATCCTTAGAGTGTTTCTGCAAAGATGAGGAACAAGAGGCTCAGAAGTTTAGTGACTTTCCAAGATCCCTTGGCAGGTGGGAGCATCCCTGGTGTTTCGGCTCCAGATCCCATGCCCCTTTCCCCTTCCACTGCATTGCATCTGCCCCCGGCCCCACTGCACATACCCCAGCTCTCCTCCCAGCCCAGGTAGGCTGAGGCCTGGCTTCCCTGCCAGCCCCTGGTCTCTGGGCTGGGAGAAGATCCAGCCTCCTTCCCAGTTCACAATCATGTATGTAGCACGCGCCTGCTGCTGTGTGTCCAGCCTGTGGGGCACTGGGTGGGGAGTATAAGCAAGTGTGAGAGGCAGCTCTTATCATCAAGTAGCTCACGCTGTGGGGAGAGGGCCTGAGCTCTGGTGTTTCCTCCACTTCTTAGAAGGGCACTAATCCCATCATGGGGGTCCCCACCCACCTTCATGACCTCATCTAACCCTAATTACCTCCAACTACCATCACATTAGGGGATCAGGGCTTCAACATAGGAATTTAGGGGAGACACAGACCTCCAGTCCAGATCAGGAACCAAAGAGTTGCCACTCATCTCACAGGGGTGGCACCTGGAGTGTTGGAGGACAGCTTCTCACACCTGGCCTGCAGGTGAGAAACACCTGTGGGCTCTGAAAAATACAGATGCCTGGCCCTGGCCCCAATTCGTGACATCAGAACCAGAGATGGACCCGTTCTGTGGCCAATTTTGAGAGCTTCTGGGAAACTGGCTCATCCCCCAGGTCCTCCATGGTGGGCTTCCCCTTGTCATCGCAGCATCCCAGGCCTGCCCTGGCCAACCCAAGTCGCCTCCAGTCACTGCCTCTCTTGGTTTAGCTCTTCGCAAGCAAGAATCCTATCCATTGTTTTATTGTTGGTTGGCTTCCCCCAAGTAGAACATAGGAGGTGAGAGCCTTGTTTGCTTTCTACAACCACAGTATGTGCGTCAGTTTTTCCTGCTGTAAAAGGCGGTGATAATTAAATCCACCTCATGGAGTTGTTAGAATTAAATGAGTTCCCTTCCACGAAGTGATACACACCCATGCTCAGACTTCAGCCTCCCTTTTTGTGATTTTCTTCCTGGCTTACTCCAGAGATGATACCATGTCTGTGTACATAGGTACTGGACAAACTACTGTCAATCACCTGTCAGGAGGACAAGTTAAGAGGTAAACGTCCTGCCAAATGCTGTTTCTTCTCTTCTGGAAACACATGTCTTGTTTTGATTTGATTTTTTAAAAAATCTTTTGAGGATTTGGGATGCGGGAGGGTGGCAGACTTTGTAGAACTTGCCTCTGAAAGGAATTTGTCCCTTGGCTGGGCTTATGTTACATGTTGGCGTTTAGCTGGGGTGGGTGGGCCTGGCTTCCCCCATTCTTACAGCTTTCCCCCCACGTCTGAGACTGGGTCAGCGATCCATCCTCCCCTGGGTCACCTGTTCATCTGGGTCTCCATCCTCTGCCCCATGTTTAAAAGGAGCAGCGGTGACAGAGGGTGGCTTGGTTCCCCTGTTGTCATTGGGGTGGCGGTGGGGGTCTGTTTTATCTTGTTTGGTTTTCCACTTGTCTGTTGGGATGCCTGGTGGCTGTGTGTCTTAGCTCGGGCTGCCATGGACGATACCATGGCCTAGATGCATAAACAACAGTATTTTGTTTATGCAAAAACAATGTATTTCCTCACAGTTCTGGAGGCTGGAAGTCCGAGGTCAGGGCTCCAGCGTTTCCGGGTACTGGTAGGGACCGTCTTACTGGCTTGCAGACTGTGCCTTCTTGCTGTGTCCTCATGGAGGGGAGACCAAGCACGAGGTCTCTGGAGTCTCTTCGGGAGCTGCGAAGAGTCCATCAGAAGGCTGCTGATGCCATCCGACCGGGGCGCCACCCTCGGGACCCATATACCCACGTTACCTCCCAAAGGCCCCATCTTTAATACATTGCTTTGGGGTTAGGGCTTCAACATGAGAATTTGGGCGGCCAGGGGCAGGGGCACACAAACATTTGGTCCATCACAGTGTCCGTAGAAGGGAGGCTGGGAAAAGAGGCCTGAGGGCCCAGTGGACGTGGCTCAGTGGTTGAGCGTCGATCTATGAACCAGGAGATGATGGTTCGATTCCCAGTCAGGGCACATACCTGGATTGCGGGCTCGATCCCCAGCAGGGGGTGTGTGCAGGAGGCAGCTGATCAATGATTCTCTCATCATTGATGTTTCTAGTCTCTCTCTCCCTCTCCCTCTCTGAAGTCAATAAAAATATATGTACCAAAAAAATAAATAAATAAAGAGGGCTGAGGGAGGGGTGCCCGAGAGAGAACTGAAGACGAAGATGGTTCCTAGCATTTCAGGAGACCAGCGGAGTAGGAGGCAGGTGCTAGACGGAGGATCTTGCCTGGTCAACCTGGTTCTGATCAGCCCTGACTTTGCATCCTGCACTAGGGCTGATGTGAAGCCACCTGGTGAGTCTGGTGGGGGTGGAGCCTGTGCAGGGGAGCTGGCGTTGGGACTGAGCTAGGAGGAGGCGATGAGATCCTGGTGCAGGTACCCGCTGCAGCAGTGGATCCCTGTAGGCGCCCCTGCTTGGGGAGCGGAGGTGCAGAAAGGAGGAGGAGGAGGGGACCTAGAGCTGCAAACAGTACATCCGGGCCTGTGGGCGTGGAGGTGAGGCTGAGC